CATATCTGCTCATCTCTCCCCCTTTTTGCATCCCCTCGTCAACCGTGTAACGTTACACTGCTCGCCGAGCCTGCTCTTCATGCTCCGATCACTCATTTTGCGAGCGCGCGACGCGCACCACAATCCCGGCGGATTTTTATCGCGCCATTTTCGTAGTCATACCTGCGATTATAAATTTATTATGCAGACACGCTATACTAATGAATTACAAGTGCTGATCACGAGGAATTTGAATTCGCTTTCGAAAACGTGCGCACGAAAATTTATGTGCATTGCGATACGAACGCGCCCAAGTATTTACACGAAACTCGTTTTACGCTCTTTTCACCCGTTCAAACGTACGATTTGACGCCTTCGTCGTCTAAAATATTCTACCCAGCGACTTTATCGCACCACGATTATCTCCGTATCCACTCATGGACATTCAAAGCTCGACAGACTGCCGTAGATTCGCTCGCCCTTCCAAAACTACGACTCCCAAGAGACATCGACACGGTATTTCGATATCGATATCGACGCAAAGTGCCACCACGATCACGGTGCTTACCTCCAGGTGCGTCACGAGAGCAATGAGTCGCACCGGGTACATTGTGTTCGGGTACGTCGCCTCGTTTCACCCCTACGGCCGGGAAAGGACTCATTTCTCGGGGTGATGAGTCACACGGGAGCATGGAGACGGATAAAGGATGTCGGGAAGCGGCGCTTTGGCTCCCTGATGGCCCCGGATAACGGGCGCCGCGCTTTTTACAATTTGCCTCTCGTGCATTACGCCCATTATGCTGCTACTAGGAGTAGCGAGGTCTCGGCGACGGCTGACAATACGATATGTTTACTATCCTAAAAGAAGTGTGGCATTAGCCGACCAATGTGCGCGCACGTGCCAAGCCGTGAACAACGTCAATAAGAGCGCGTGGCATTGTTTCCATCGATTCGTCGGCATTAGTGTTTTGAAGCGCATTGGATTACACGACGGGCTCTCTCGACGGGCTCCCTCGACGGGCTATGACCGCTCCCACCTAAATCTCGAGCGGGCATCCATCATTGAGGTTGCGCCGCGGAGGAAGATCCTGATGCGCCGGGAGAATGAAAGTTATCCGAGGCAGCACGCAGGGGTAAATGTTTGGGCGTCGGAGCCGAGCTCCTGGCTTTTCTGTTTAAGATCGGGGGCGTGCGCTCGCGAGGGTTCCGAAATATAGCGAACGAGTGAAGTTGCCGGGTGAAGTACGGCTGGCACTCGTCGTTTCGATAGTCCCGCGTTATAGCTGTTGTAATTTGTTGCTCTTGAATTATGCCGGCGACTATGGGACGAGAACCGATGACGAGGCCGGGAAGAGAAGCGTGGTAACGGAGGCGGAAGGGGGTGGGGAAGGGGAATGGGGGATCTAGGCTGAAAAATTTGGAACGTTCGAAATAGTTTTTTAATGTCGGATAAGTTATTATTTAATCGTTGTACGGGTAGAGAAAAATGCCGGTGTACATCATGTAAAGTATTCGTGTTCATGGAGGTTTAATGCGGATAAATAGAATGTACTCGAGAAGATTTACGCGCGTGTTATGCTGGTGTTTCTAAATTCTGCATTTATCGCGGATAAGCTGTTGGCGGCGATGTTAATGCCAAATAACGTCAATCGAATTCCTGTTTTTAGATTAATAAACGAGAGCATTATGCTGATGGAAATTGGATTGTGAATTGGGTTGAAAATTTTCCGGCGATATGAAGAACTGTTAAATTTGCGTGCCGCTTGGTTTGTGGAATATCAGTTGAATTAGAATGATTATCGAATCAGCGCGAAATAATGGACCTCGCGACACTCCCGCTTACAAGTACACCGCGCAATTGCTGTTTATATTATCGATTAACATCGCAAAGCTCGACTCTGTTTGTAGAAGCGGCGCTCGAGCCAAACCAACGAAAACATGGCCCGATACAGACTTGCGGTTCACCCTCACAAGCTGTTTAATACTGATAATCCCTCCTTAATTCACCGCCGCAACTTTAATGCATCTTGCCCGCCCTGCCCATAATTTTTTTCTCCCCCGGTCTGCGTCCCCGGTGATTCCCTGGGTCGCAACAACGTTGCGCCGTACTTGGTGGCAAATAGGGCAAGGGAAAGGCGTGTGTAGTCTGCTCCCCCCCTCCCCCCTCCCCCTCCCCCCTCGTCAACCGACCCCATCACTCTGTTTTCTCCCCGAGTCGTTGCGCATAACTCGGCGCGTGTGGATTTGCCTAAACGCCTAAGTGAAATCCGTGATGGGAAAGGCGTGTGTAGTCTGCCCCCCCCCTCCCCCCTCCCCCTCCCCCCTCGTCAACCGACCCCATCACTCTGTTTTCTCCCCGAGTCGTTGCGCATAACTCGGCGCGTGTGGATTTGCCTAAACGCCTAAGTGAAATCCGTGATAAGCGGGATATACTCGAGTACGCGTAGCGAGTTTATCGTTCGTCACACGTACGCCGACGGGGGAACCCGTGTATAAGTTCATCTGAGGGGAGTTGCGTGCTTAGGAGAACACCCGCCGAGGGTTTCACGCCTCGACGAACCGAGATTGAACGCGCGTGTTGCCATAGTCGCCCGCTTGCAGTCCCTTCGTGCGCGCGCACTCGAATCTTTCTTCAAGACTCTCTTTCTCTCTTTCACATTTTTTTTAAATCGTGTTGTCACGGGGGGAGTGCAGCTACTACTAGCTGAAACAGCCTCTGAGGTCGTTCGTAACAGATTAGGGCGTCACGTAGATAATTTACGAGCATTGTGTATCCCCCCCCCCTTACCACCACCATCACCATCGCCACTACCACTACCACCATCACCACCATCACCACTACCACTACCACCATCACCACCATCACCACCACCACCACTCTACGTACGTACATGTGACCGCTTGCGTACACATATATAAGCGCGCGCGCGAGCTCACGCAACATCATTCTCTCGCTTATTCTTCGGTAGCCCTTGTTCATTTCTTATTTTCAATATGTGTGTGCTCTGCTTGCCGGAGCGCATTTTATATCTATTTTTACGAGCGGGCGAAAGCAATTGGAGTTGCTGGAACAATCGAATGAAGAATGCGACGCTTCGAATGCGATACTTTATTGATGTTCGTTTTTAACTAGTTAACTCTGGGGCATAACGGCGGGGCCCTCGAAGGAACGCCAGCCATGATTTCATGAATATATTAAAAAAAAAAGAAAAAAAAAATGAGGAAAAAAAGCTGGGCATTGATTCAAAATGGTTAACGCAATCCAATGCATTCGCGGTTGCAATTTGTTTTAAACGCGCCGCTTTGCGCATCGCATAAATCTTGTGCGCGTCGCATCGATAGCCGCAGGTTTTTTCCTCGTAAAGAGTTGTCATTTTGTTAAGCAGAAAACAAATGCGTTTGTTTGACAAATTTTGACGAGAGAGAGAGAGAGTCCTATGTGCGATTACGCCTGCGGTATCTAAAAATTAGTGGTAAGCGTTTGTAACCAACGATTCACACCTCGTCGCTATTCGAAGCTATTAGTCTCGACTTAATCCCTCCCCATCCCATACCACCCCCGTCGCCATTACCGCCCACTGTCATTACGTATTCTATGCCCGATGTTTGCCATTGTAGACGATTTGCCGTCGTGAGCGATTTGTAAACTCACGCTACGTGGATTGTGTACGCGCTCCGGTCGTCAAACTATGCCAGATATTTCGCGAATTGTGAAAGAAGATAATCGTGCCAATGGTGCCCTGAACTCCCGTATTTTTTTTAATACTTTCGCGGCTCTGGATGCCGTGTTGTTAAAACCAATGGAAAGCGACGATAAAAGACAATAGATTGTATAAATTGTTTCAATTATTGTTACGCGTTATAATATTCGCGGAAGAAAGAGTTTATAGCAATTTAGATGATTGAACTTCTATGCTGAATCACTGAACACGTGTTAACATTGACCACGCGAAACTAGACTAGTTTTGTATTTTTTATATTTTTAGTACACCTTTAAATAGTAAATATTTTTTATTTAAGTTTATAGCAATGTTATCTTGTTATACATTTTTTTTTTGTTTTTGTTTGAAACGCTAAAATGCCAGCTATTGTTTTTAAACAAAGCTATAAAAACTGTAGGTCATATGCTCGATATGAAAAATAAAAAAATAAAAAATAAAAAAATAAACAATCTCGAAATGTCGTTGCTCGAGCTTTTAATAAAATGGCAGGATGAATGTTTGGAAGGCTAAGCCTTCCAATAAAATAAAAGCTGTTTAATTTTTATCGACGAAACCATTGTTTCGAGAGTTTTATCACGAAATCGTTGCCGATGTCTGTTAACTAGCAAAGTCTTGCGAAATTGGTCTTGGTTTATTAAGCGGCCTGTTAGCCGGTGCTGTTAGAGTTATACCAACTGCACGATTTTAAGAACGAACGGCTCGATTTGTTCGCTCCGTTGGTATGTAAAAATCAAAAGGTACATTGAAAATAGTGTAGCTAATTGCGCGTCCTGGTATTCATTGTTACGGATACGATTGATGTTGTCTATGGCCTTGAGTCAGCCATGTTTCCAGCCAACAATTCAATATCAATATGGTTATGAACAAGTTGCTTCTATATAAATTGTTACTAAATCACATGATTTCGCTTAGTAACAAACCCCCATTGATTATTCGTGCAACCTGTTAGTCAGCCTGTCCGAGTACCTGGGTAACTAGGAGTTACTGAATATACCTAATAATTGGATATTATCGGAGCTCGAATCGGACTAATCGGATAATTTTACATATATTCACTTATTATCAAAGTATTCCCGAATTTTCGAGCAAAAAGAAATTGAAACGTAAGCCATTGCTGGTCAGATATTTCGAGAACCTCGCTTCGATATTAATATTTTAATCGCTGAAATGACGCTTGCTCATTTGATTTTACACACAGGCGTTCCTGCTCTCTGTCGCCCAGCACGCGCGTGCGCGCGCGCACGCACGCACGCATCAACAGCCAAACGTAATTTTTTCTTTGTCTCTATAATTTTTCAGCAACAACGTCCAGATTTACCACGGCTGCTGCAGCAGATGCAGGTGCAACAATTGCCACCAGGTGCGGCTATCGGTCCGCATCCGGGACTCCCGGGTCTTCCGGCCCTTGGACCCGCGGCAGGTCTCCCGGTGCCGACGTCCGCATCTGCGGCTCTTCTCGGCCTTGGACTGACACCCGGAGCACCGGTTACCCCCGGTGGTACCAACGCCCATCCGCTCTCGATGCTTAGCAAACCAGAGTTGCACCGTAACAGCCAACCCGACGATGTTAAAAGCAACGGAGGTGAGGATAATTTTGAAATTCATTTTTACGATATTATAACGTCCGTTACTCTCGCTTTCTTCGCGGATTTTGATTTTCGGCGGATTCGCATTAATTCAAAGAGCGTTTACTATGATTTATAAGAGGCTTCGGCTTTGTGCGGAATAACTTCCGGAGACTACGAATAATTTTAGAGGTATCCGTAATTACGTGAGCACGAAAGTTTCGTACAGTTGGCTTTCTTGACTCATTGCGACTAACTTTATGGATTTTCCCATATAAGAATCGCCGAAATATGTTATCATCTTGCTTTGCTTTACAGCTTCGTTTCAAATCGAAACGCATGTTCCGTCATTTCGTTTTTAACGCATGCGTAAAAAAGCTTCACCCTTTTCGGGCGTTCTTAAAAATGAAATAACTCTCGATGTTCCGGTGAAATCTAATTTCCCGGACGTCAAAAGCCAGATCCCCGTCGATTTATATAAATAACGGGTGCGTCGAGTGGAGGTATTGGCTGTCGTGTAAAAACGGCTCGTAACAATCCCTTTTTTATATTCCATTCCAGGCCGGAATTCACGATACGAGCCATTTATACACATAGACACGCGCCTCTTGATTTCGCGCAGCACGCAAGCAAACCCTCGAAAAATGCAAATTTTCATCGCATAAAGAACAAGCAATAATCCCCATTTGCAATTTCGCATTTTACAGGGCTGTGCTCGCGAGGGTGGGTGGACGCAAAAAAAAAACAAAAAAAAAAAATAAAAAAAGAGCCACTAGTCGCTAGGGCGAGAGAAGGAGAGAGCAGACACACATAGAAATAATTGAGATAGCCCCGTGTCTGCGTTTGCCCGCCCACGCACTCGCTTTTTTCCCCTATCCCCTCTCCACCCACTATCTCTCTCGGTCACTCACTCACTACCTTCCCCCATCCTCTCTTTCGTTCTATCTCTTTCTCTCCTGCACGTCTGGGTCAATGCAGCGCGTTACCCTCGTAATCTCGTTGCGTCGATCTCCGGGTACAGTTACATGCGCTTTTCCCCGGGAAAATCGTACACCGACCCTCCGCGCTTCTCTCGTACCTCCCCCGTCCCTCAATTCATCCATCCACTTCCCATCCCTACCCTCCCACGCCTACCATCTTTACATGCTCATGTTAATACCTCGGGTGAGCGCGCGTATGTGCGCTTTATAACCCATATCGTGCGCAGTGATCCCCACGGGGCCGAAAAAAGAACCGCCATTGACGAAATAGAATTTCCGGGGCCCAATCTCGATACCGTGCGAACTTTCACCTCGGGTGTAACTTTGGGCCGGTAATTAGTCGTGATAATTGGCCGACAAATAACATTAATCGACGCGTTTAATCTATTTCTCGAGCTGTTTTTCCTAAAGCTTTTTCCCCCAATGCTGCCAGCTCGCGCGTATAAAGAAGGCGCACGCGGAATTATAAAAGCTCGTAGTTGCATGTATTGGTTATTTCTACCGTATTATAAGGGGACGAGGGTGATGTAATAAAATTGAATCATCCGTTACTGGGAGATTATTCGAAACAACTTTGAGGGGTCGAGAGCTGCTAGACAATCGAATACACAACATACATACCGTGGGATGTATGCAATTTTGACGTTTCACGTGTTAGCGGAACATCTATATCATCTTCGAAAACTACGTGTCGAGGCGCACAGCTTCATAGAGGGGACTAGAGCAAAGCGCAACGAGCCAACTTAATTACTAGACAGAAAAAAGAAAAATAACGATTGCACTTCAATCTAAAATCTCGGCTAGTTCCTTTATAAGCTACCTCGAAATTTATTTCAGCCTGACCGCTCGATGCCTTCTCCCACGAGTGAAAGCGGAGACGCGCGCGCGCTCGCATTAGACTGACAGTACCCGAGCACCAGTCAAGTAGAGAAATAACGACGATGACAAAAGGGCTGGGGTAAGAGGAGGTGGAGCTATAAGCATAGGGATGCGCTCGGTTGAGAATTTTCAAAGCACAGTGACTATTCGTTTTCGGGAGGAGGGGGGGGGAGGGGGGGGGGGGGGGGGGGGGGGGGGGGGGTGCGGCCCGGTGTTGTCGTATTTGTGCTCGACGTGTTGGCGGCGGACAAGCGGGTGGTTTTGAGGGAAAAGCGCACATAAATATGTATGAAGATCATTTATACGGGTTCGCGTTCGTTCTCCCCTTTGCCTTGCCGTTCGTTTCCGCGGCCGCTTGCGACGTTATTAACATTCTATCGACGACACGCGCACTTTCGTCGCTCTCGTCATGTACGTACACGCGCGAACGTTCTTTTTTTGCGTCGGCCGAGCTTCCGCTGGATGCAATGCTTCCCCCCACCGCCGCTCTCTCTCTCTCTCTCTCTCTCTCTCTCTCTCTCTCACAC